TGTGTAGGTGATAGGTTTGGCTTTTTTAGCCTTTCCTTTTTCAGGTGGAATGGATATATTTATGCAATTTGTTGAGAATAACAGGAAACGACCAATCTAAAGCATATTTGTTGTATTTTGAAGAACCTGTGAGGGGAAGGGATTGTGTGCCGTGCGTGACAATACAAATCCAAGGGGGGGTTACGTTGCTGTGATGAAATTCTCAGCCGCAAGATGACATTTTTGGGTTTAGCATTTCTTCTTTTATCTTGGATGGCCTGCCTCTTTAAGAAGCGATTCCTTTCTTTTGCAATTGCATGGCACACGACGGATTTATTAGTAGTAGTACACATTACACAATGGAAGCTAAATGCTCATCTCTCTCTCTCTCTCTCTCTCTCTCTCTCCAAAAGAAACATAAAACAATATCCTTTAAAGATGTACGAGGAGAAGTTGCAGAGAGGCAGAATCAGTGAGGTTAGCGTAACCTAAAACCTGAGTGTATGAGCGTGGCGTAGGTATCACCGCACAATAGCATTTGCTAAAGAGTAAATGCTGCACCATCATTTAAATACAGCTTTGTGTTGTGTGGATACCATAATGTGAATTAACAGAATCAAAGTAAAGAACAAGGAACAGGAAACACAAGCATTTTGACTAATTAATTATCCAATGGATGGATGGAAAATTAAGAGGAAATTTCTACTCATAAAACTGAGTCAATTATAATGTACACAAACGGATGATGCCAAAGTAATCAAAATATCTTGGCACCACCATAAAATTTATAACAGGAGGGCTTTCACCATATTAAGAGATTCGAAAATCCTCTAGAATAAGAAGGGTTTGAATTTAACAGTACATATAACTAATATAGTAACACGGAATATCCTAGTTACAACTTTCAACACACTTTCTACCTTATCAGCCAAATTTGGTCCTAATTGCTTGCTTAGCCCAGTGACTTTCAGACATGCCGGCTCAAAAGAATTTGCCTTGCATGGAAAATATTAACGAACGAAATAGGCCATGGGCAGGACAACTCAAACACAACTTACTTGGACCTGCCACCAGCGTAAGATCAGATGAACATAGTGTAAGCTCAAAAGCAACTGAATGTTCGCGCAACTTGCGTTGATGGCTGAGCAGAAATTGCTCTGTTTTCCCCACCAATAAGGCAAACAGAAAGAATCAATGAATTATCGTATTGTCGAAGTTGTATCATATTGTGCACATGGCTAGCACAGTTAAATTTGAACCTGAATTCGAAAGCTTGACTGACCCAACATGTCTCTCTGATGTGCAATCATTTCTACATGACATATTTAGGACAGCCAGGTAAACTCGTCAGCATCACCAGGTGTAGCTTTCTTCGCCAATAAATGATGCAATTACCTACATGAGAAAACGAAAGACAAAATAAATAAGAAGCCATACCAGAAAATGTCTAAATATAAGACATTGTTCATTATTAACAAGCATATTTAATGTCTCCTCGATAGCACATGCTTCAAGCCCTGCAAAATTGACATAAACTTCAGATCCATACTCCCCAAATAACCAAAGCAAAAATAAATAAATAATTAACAAAGTACGATGATGAAAATAAATCAAAGGTGTGAAAACCAGATCATTCCTGTGTAACCTGTACCAAACTAGGCAGAGTAACTCAACAACAACCTATGCTGCATGCACCGGCAGTAAACAAAAATGAAAGATAGTACAGATCCAAATAAAGAAATAACTAAGGGAACCACTTATTATTACATATAATTAATTACATTTCTGCAGTACAACCATCATGTAATGCAAATCAATAAGAAGTGCTCCTAATAAGGCAAAATAATTAATGGGATAAGACAACAAAGTCACAGCTAAATCATGACACAAGTCATACAAATGACCTGAGAGCACCCTGTACTGAATATAGCTCACATTCGAAGCAGTAAGGTTAGCAAGAAGAAAGATAAATCCAAGATTCATAAGCAGTTAAACAACCCCTGACCAACCCCCGAATTGACATTCCTTGTTTAAGTCAAGCTAATGGTTGAGTTAAATTGCAGTAAACAGGACTACAAATATAGATTGTTCCTACAGACGGGTAGGACACATTAGGTCCGCCACTTAAGTACTCATCAAGTTCATCATCCATGTCCGTTCGACGAATGAAAAATAAGGAAAGGTTTCAAAGGAACAAGATAAAGATAAGCAATAAAAGTCTTTCAGTTATCTTATAACTCTAGCTCATATCCATGCCATCTCCAACTTTGCTGCAGATCAGACTGACTGTAGAGAAGGATCTCTCGAAAGGAGAAGGATGGAACTGGGCATCCCGTCTGCGCTTAGAAGAACAACTGTCCACAGAAGAGTTCTCTGACTCAAGCTTCCTCCGGACCCCTCTCACAGCCTGTTCCTCTGCTTGTGTAAGGGGGAAAATCTTTCCGCTTGCTCGACAAAGGGAGCTATGGTTATCATACAGGATCCTCTGGTCACAGTTTTTGTCACAGATGTGAGTGAGTCCAGTTAGCTTGCAGCAATACATATTCGCGCAGACATGCTCGTTCTGGCATTTCCAGTCACATTTGTGAACAGAAGTTGACCCATCTCGGCCCAAAATAGTCGACAGAAAAATAACATTCGTAGATCCTGCTACCACAGATTTGCCATCCACCTCCATTGCAACTGCGAATTGATGAGCTAATAAAGTCAATTGAACAGATTCCACTCTCGGAGGCCTTTGCCTCTAAAGGTTCTACAGATGTCAACACAACGTAGAAATTCGTTCCCCAGACTTCATATGGAATCTGTTTAATAACTAAATGCTTGCATGAAATTTCTACAAAGTCCTGACTGTTCAACTTCAGGAACACTCTCTGTTTATATATATATACCGGATCTCTAACCAAATTGTACAACATTGATCACGCATATATTTTCACATCACATCAAATCCTCACATTTAAATTATTTTAAAAAAATACTGCTTAATAACGTTTTCCTGACAAACATGGTCCCACAGACATCTTATTTATATTTCTTTTGTCTTTTAGAACCAAGCTGCTCTAAAGAAAATATTTTTATTTGGAAAAAAGAGCATTGTAAGCATCCCCAAGATCACAGCAACGCTTATCATGGCCCATATGAAGCCAGCAAATAACTTTCTTCATCAGATCTGATACATGTATGAATGTGGGATATAAAATTATACAATTTTATTCCTCTAAAATCAAGAAACAACGTTTATATTTTCATTTACATGATCATTCCTAACACATGCAAAGAACTATCTGAAACAACACTAACAAAATCAAATTTAGAAAGACAAATAGGAGAAAAGAAAGAACAAGAAGAAGAAGAGAATGACTTACTTGTGCTTCCAAAAGTCAAAAACAACAACACGCGTTGTGCTTCCACGCTACCCAGCAACAGCACCACCTACTCCTCACCTTCTCTCTCTCTCTCTCTCTCTCTCAAAGACTCAAACTTTCTCTCGTTATCCAAAATGCCTAGCAAGCTAACAAAGAAAACGTGAGAGGAGGGGTGGGTATTTATAGATAGATAGTTAGAGAGAGACAGAGACAGAGAGAGATAGAGAGAGAGAGAGAGAGTGGGGTAAGGGGTTAGGGGGGTAGTTGACGTTGAACTGGGAGAGAGGAGATTGTAGTTACAGTGTTTGGATGCAAAAATCCAAAAGCCCAACCCAACCCAGACCCAAACTCACAAAGCTCCAAAATGCCAAATGAAATTTCGGGTAAATTGCGGGTGAAATTCGTCCCCCCACATTTTTTCCTTATTAAAAAAAAGACCCGATTCCCGAGTGAACTTGACTTTTTAAAGGGTTTACCTACAAACGTGGATAATCCAAGTAAATTTTCTATTTTTCTATTTTTTCTTTCATAATTAAAAATTAAAAAAAGTAAAAATGTGAACCCCGAGGTCGGAGAGAGTGTGACTCGGACTGTCATGTGCCCCGGTCCCCACCCCAAACGGTCTCTCTCCCTTATCGATTCAAACGCTCTCCCTCTCTCTCTCTCTCTCTCTCTCTCTGACTTTTTAAACGTACCACCATTTGCCACGTCGCCGTCATTTTCGCTGAGCCTATGACTTCTCAGGCCCAAATTGGCATTTCAAGTCTCGGCCCAGTTATTCTTGGGCTGTCAGCTTTTGACCCGGAACCACTTTCTCAACCCGACTTGCTTCCATTGCTCTTCGCTCTTCAGTCCTCCCTGTTTGCTAGGGCTAGGGTTAGGGTTTTCAAATCCATGCGCGTAACTCATCTATGCTCTCAACTCTCAGTATCAGACTCAACTATTAGGTCTGCTCATCTCTTTTTCTGCTTCAAATTATTCACTTTTTGTTGCAAGTCGTGAACTTTGTAAAAATCTGAATCGGAAAAACACCTGCTTTGTCAATGATTGTGTTTTATTTAAGTCTTTAAAATGGATCGGTTCTTTGATATAATTCAATCCAATTCTTGTCAACTTTTTTAGGGTTGCTCGAATTGAGAAACATATTTCACTCTGTTGTTGTAGATGCTTCATATGTATCACTGTGTAATAATCTGATTGATGCTATATGATGTATAGTGTGTAATTTTGTTTAGTTATAGCCTACCTATATGCTCTATATGTATTATCAGGATTTTCAATAACTTTTGATCAGAAATTTGGATTTGTTCTTTTAAAAGTCTGCCCTGTGTTTTTTCAGGATTCTTGACAAAATCGTAACTTTATTTTTTTATATAAGTTTTGGGTTTTGTTGACTTATCATTCAGTATTAGGTTTTCTAGTGCCTGTGTGTTTTCAGGATTCTGAACGAAATCAGTACTTCCTAATTTTTGTATATAATAATTTTTGGATTTTGTTGATTTCTCAATCCTTATTCCTTATTGGGTTCTAGTGCCTCTTTTCACCTTAAATTTCCTTGTTTGTTGAATTTGAGTTTCAAAACACAGTTTAGGTTGCTTCTCATACAATATTTTCCTCTGGAATTCATAATATTTTATAGATCCAATTGTGCTGTAAACAGGTAAAGGATCATGGTGGGATTTAAGAATAGGTATATGGTATTGGAGGTTATCTTGGATCCTAATAGAGAGCTGGTGAGAAAAGATCCTGTTATAATTACCTCATATAATGTTACAAACGCTATCAAAGACAGCATTCTTGAAAATTTTGGGAAGTGTGGTCTGGCTTCATCGTTTGGATCATTCCTAGGTAAGTCATGGTTCCAAATAATTATTGTTTCCTTCATTGTTTATATGGACGTTTGCAACTAATTTTCAGTAGAATGGCCTGTCTAAATTTTGTTGAGCCAATTTTTGTGCAGTGAAGTATGTAAATGACATTACAAGGTTGTGTATCATTAGAGCTTCAAGGGAGGAATATCAAAAAGTATGGTCTGCAGTTACCATGGTCAGGAGTATTGCAGGTTGCCCGGTGCTATTTAATTTGTTGGATCTAAGTGGTGAGTTAAAGAATTGCAACAGAGTAACTCGTATGCTGATGATGCCTTTTATTTTCCTCCAACATGGCTTTGGCTTGCATAGTTTTAAGAAAAAGTATATTAAAGCAGAGGTTATTAATTTTTTTTGGCGATTTAGGTGTAACAAGGTTTCATCTTTAAATGTGGAAGTTTTTGACTCTTGGGTTTTCGTTATTTAATCATTGTGCTTGATTATTGGCTGAAAGAAAAATACTGTGCTTAACTTTTATGGTGATTGTCGAATTACTATTTCCTTAGAAGGAAGCACAATTCTTATTTCAAACATTGTTTGAGATATCTTAAGAGGTCACATATGTTTTACATCGTATTGTGCATTTCTTTATAGAATATCATCATTATCATAGCAAAAGACTCGAGCTACTCTAATGTTACTGTCAAAACAAAGACACATCGTTATTGTCTTCCGAGTTTTTCATCTGTCAAAGAAAAGTCATTTAATTTCCCTGTTCTTTTACTTTGTATCAGGAAGCATCAAAGCTTGTAAAAAAGCTGCCTTGAAGTGTGATGAACTAAAATTTGAGCAGCACAAAATTGCGGTTGGATCTAATCTTTCAGCTCAAGATACTCAAAAAATGCAGAACTATCTTGACAAGATCAAAGGCCTGGAGCACTAAAGTTCTACTGCATTTGGTGTGACATACTTATTCAGATGGCAAGTCCTGTTCCTATATCTTATTATTATTATTTTTAATATATGGGCTATCATGGAAAAAGTATTATTGGTTGTTAAATGGAGCCTTGTTATTGCTCGGTAATAACGAGCTTCTGGTGTTATAGATCACAATCAGCAGTCAGTAATGTTGGGATTTTGAGTTGATAAAAATATCTGCTCTTTCATATTTCATAGAGGGGGTTCTTACTGTGTATCTGCAAAGGAGTGGAACTCTTTAAAATGAAGGAGTTGATCTGTAGCATTTTCAGGAAGACATAAAGTAGATGTTTATGTCTCCTTTTTTATCTAAAACCCGAACTCATTCTTGTTGAACATGTTGCAGGAATTTGGTGAGCCTTCCTTCCCCGTCTCCATGCCCTGGCTCCATTGGTGTTTGGCGTCTATTATCCAGCCAAATCTGTGACTCGTGTGGAATCCTGAAAAGTTAGGAAAGCTAAAAGGAGAGGAAGCTTGCAGGAACATCAAATTTTCTTTTAAATAGGTGTGAAAGGTTATGTGGATGTAAAATCAAGTAGTGGATTAGGCAGGGGAAGTATTTGATTTGGCTATATTTCTATCTAGTTTCTTGGGGAATATGTGCTTGTGCTGTCGGGTTTGTGTTATTTACTAGTGGAGGGGATAAGTACGTGTATTGCACATACACTGTTGTGATGACGATCAAGCAAGTAGCAAAATTCATTTTGTATAACCATTCAACAAGCGAAAGCTTATTTTAATTTTATATATACAGCAAGTAAGAACAGTTTTATGTTTATGTTATCTCTGTGCTAGAAATTCAAATGGTAACGATTATAATATTTCAGATAAATTATGAGTTGTTAGGTTACAAGGGCACTATGTGAGCACTAATGATGGTATATGGTGGAATCTTCTAAGTAGCAACCTTTCGAATCTATTTTGTGTGAATGATTGATACCTTTAGAATCTTTTCATTCCGAAGAATCAATTGATGTTATTGGGACCTACTACATAAGATAATGTCACCTCTCCTCTCCCATGGAGAAGCTTACCCAGATGATCCTCGGAGAAGCCGAATAATATAGAATGGTTTTATCAGCCATGTGGATTTGGCATTTGATGACAATTAATTTAAGTGTGTACGTTAGTTATAAATGACATAAGTTAGGGCCTAATTTGAAGTTAGATATCATATCACCTCTTGGCCAGTTGGCCCTGCCTCGTGAAGCTTGAGATTTTCAAGTGCTTTGCTTATTAAGCATGTGTGCATATTTGCATGACATGAGAGCAAACTCAAAGTGGCGTACGGCTCTGTAATTTTCTTCAAATATACAGATATATTCACATACTCAAACTCAAAGTGGGTTGGTGGTGATCAATATTTTCTAGGTAATGAAATAGATAGATAGATAGCACAGCACATATTGGAATGTATGTTTCGAGAATTTTCGCATGAAAGTTCTTGCCCAAAAACCATTTTCTTTATACCAAAGTCTGCACTCTGCAATGTGGGAGGAAGATACTAGTAGTGCTCTGTTCATTTAATAATGATGAGAAAACAGACACAGGTTGTTTTCCATTAAGCATTGATGTTGTTGAAGGCGGGCGGCAATAGGTAGAAAGCCAGAAAGGCAGTTTGCTTTGTGAATTGTATTTGCTGAGCCTGATTAAATTCAAAGGCAGCTTGCTTTGTGAATTGTATTTGCTGAGTTTAGTGGTGGGCGTGGCTCAACCCCTATGCGTCTAAAATTCTATATTTCCACGTATGAATCGCATTTTAAGGGCTCCATCTCCTCTATGTCATGTGTAGCTGGCTGGCTGTTAAGAAGATACATACATATATACATACATACATACATAGCCTTATAAAAACCCACCTCATTTTTCTCATTTTTATTCACCCAAATCACTCACTCCACACAACATAACACAAAAACCACACCCGTATTACACTTGGACACTCCTCCCTCTTTTTCTTACCTTGCTCTTTGAACCTCCCTTGGAGGAGGAGAAGAAAACTAAAAGAGGGCTTTCTTTTTTCTGTTTCTTTTGATTATTAAAAATGCAGGAAAGAGTTCTTGATTACATTTTCGTACCGGCAGGCCTCCTAGTTATGGTGGCATACCACCTTTGGCTTCTCTATCGAATTATAATGCAACCAAATAATACCATCATCGGCATCAATTCCATCAACCGCCGCTTCTGGGTCTACGCTATGATGGAGGTAAAACCCAACCCAACCTAACACACACCATCACTTCACTTCTTTTAATATATATATATATATATATAGGTATGTCTTCCTTCCTGTTCATATATTATTGTATGTATGAATGATCTATCGATCGATCCCTCTTGATGATTCAAAATGATGCCTCTTATATACCTATCACTAATCTTTGAAATTTTAAAAGAACCAACATGAATGATTGATTGATTGATTGATATAAATACTAAATCTTTATTGACCAATTTGGGCATGCATGAAATGCAGGATGCGCCAAAGAATGGTGTTCTTGCGGTGCAGACACTGCGAAACAACATAATGGCATCGACCCTTTTGGCCTCGACGGCCATTATGCTCAGTTCTCTCATTGCCGTGTTGATGACAGGTGGCAGCAAGGATCGAAAGGCGTTTTTCGTCTTCGGAAACAGAAGCGAGCTCGCGTTTTCCATCAAGTTCTTTGCCATATTGGTCTGTTTCTTGGTGGCTTTCCTGTTCAATGTGCAGTCCATAAGATACTACAGCCACGCGAGCATTCTCATCAACACCCCCTTCAAAAAGATGTCACCGCATCACAAGCATCATTATCTCACAACAGAGTATGTTGCCAACACTGTCAACAGAGGCAGCTATTTCTGGTCCTTGGGCCCCTCTGTTTCTGTGGATCTTTGGGCCCATTCCCATGTTCGTGTCCTGCTTTGTTTTGGTCATCATGCTCTATTTCCTGGATGTCACCTTTCAGTTTGGATGGGTTGTTGGGGTTGCCGATGAGGAGGAGCACAACGGCCTTAACAAGGATGAGGAACAAGGCACGTCATTACAACAACATCATTAGCATTTTAATTAGCATATTACAACATCATTAGCAGAGAAAGGAATAGTAACAAAACTGCCTACAAGTATTGAACCTAAGAGCAGTTCAGATTCAATACAAGTTGAATTGAATTGCCCAATAAGTTGATGTAACAACATAGCAAGTTGAAATAAAAGTACCACTAGGAAACGCTATGCTCTGCTGGTCTGTTGCTGTTATAATATTTAGAGACAGAGACAGAGGAATCTGTTGCTGCCTTATCGTCTTTTATTCTAGTAAGGAATCTTGGGCCGATGCAGTGAGATCACTTGGTCTAAATAAGGCATTTGTTCGTACACATTTCCAAAGAGCAGGAAGCAAAGTTTGGCCATGTCCCATGCGAATCAACATCATGCCGAGTTGAGGTCGATTTATTTGTTCTTGAAATATCGCAGTCACTCAAAAAAAAGGCACCAATCACATGGAAGTAGCTCAGCAGGCTTCATGGTTGATATTACTAATAAATACAGACAAAAAGGCTTTTCTTCTTCCCCTTTCCTTTTCTTTTCGATGGAAGAAACAAAAGTTAAAGCACAAAATTAATACTTCGGATAAGTGTTACTCGTGAAGCAGGTAACGTGTGACATTGACAAGGTGGCTGTGAAAGGTTCATGATTCATATCCATTAGCCAAAAAACAAAAACAAAAAACAAAAAAAACAAAAAGATTTGTGATTCATTTAGTTCATAGATTAATAAGAAGCAAAGTCAACAGATGTATGGTGGCGTCATCCAGACGCTACCTAAAACTAAAGGGAAGAAACATAAAGCAAGGGCGGGCAACATGCTGTGGATGCAACACAGTTATAAAGATACCTCACAAAATCCCCGTTACAAGAAAGTTTATTTTCCTCACAAAGAGGTCTTTCAGTTTCATGTCCCATCCATGATCCATTCGATTCGATCATGGCATTTAAAAGTTGGGCCATGTTTCAACGAATTGAGTTCCAAGAGAATTGTGATCTCTCTGTCCCTGTCTTGGATGTCTTTTACCTCTGATTTGACCCGCGAATGTCCATTAAACAAACACAACTGTAGCCCGCGTGCAAAGTTTATTTTCCTTTCTTTTTTCCTTCTCAAAGAGCATTTCATCTTTCAGCCATCCTGCCAGCGACAGGGAGTCCTAGTAGCTTCTCCAGCTAATGGAGACTTCAAGTGCTACTGATAATAAATATTCTCAAGATAACATAACAGCAGAAGAGGATAGGATCATGTATAATCAAAAGAAGCAATTACATCTCATATTACTCCGGATGCTGTTTACATCATCTGTCATTCGATGAAACAATAAAATAAAAGATGTATCTCCCACTGTTTCTTCGTCTTCAAGATGTCTGCATTTTCCACTTATTATAGTGCGCCTAATTAGCATGCTTGATTAGAGTGATGAGCTGTCCAAATACTTTCTTGAAGCTTTGCATTTCAATACCCAAAGATGTGTTTCAGCCCTCAATCTTGTTCATTGTTAAGTTCGTTCGACGGAATGCACTGCTGCAATTAATGGTATTCAACATAATGCTAACTGAAAGAGAGAGAGACGAGTTGCTATGGAAACAAATCATGCTTGATATGAATTAAACAAAAATACGAATGCTTACTCATTAATGTGCAAGCAAAAATCCTTTCTGTTGACATCGTGGATGGCATTCACATGCAACTATTCTTGACAGTCACGTCTTGATGTCGTCTAGTTTCAATTTCAACTTCATGTTTCCAGCTTGAACCACGATTTCTTCTTTAGAAGGCTCCACTTTTAAAACTGTCGCTTTCTTACCAAGGGAAGAAACAAACACCACATTGCCAACCTTGGGAATCTCAAACTTCTCTGAAATATAAGAAGTGAGAGACATTCTTAGTTGAAAACTCAGCCAGATTGTCAAAGAGATTTGAGAGTCTCTGTCAAAGAGATTTGAGAGTCTCAAAAGTTTTCATTGGTTTTTCAATACCTGATGATGATAAAAAGGATGCACTCCTTTCCATTTGATGTTTATCATCAGTTGTGCGTTGACCGTTAGTTTCCAATTTGTGCTGGCTTTTATGCGTTAAAGTAGGCTGCAAAGGTTGAACCAGTGATGCACGGTGCTGTCTTACTTTTTTGTGAAGGATAGAACGAGCCATTGCAGCAGCCTCAGATATTTCTCTCATTTTAATAAGTCTTCGATCATTACTATGTTCCATAGTCTTCCTTTTGGCAACCAACAGTTTCTCATACGACTCTCTTGAGAGCCTACAAGTACAAGCATGAGCAAATTTAGATGCACCATCTGTAGCCATAGATTTATCCAAGCAGCATGATTTGACTTTGTTAACAGATAGCATTGATTATTACCAAAACCTCTGCATGGAGTTTATTTTATCAACTTGGATGCCCCAAAATTTAAGTTATGACATCCCTCATTTTCATGTCATTTTCTGTTTTTAACAAATTTCTTCCTTTGTCGAAGATTTTAAGAGTAAGTTCACATCAGAATTATCTAAACTGGGCAGAAAAATCTTACATCAGATGATGCTGTCCTTCATATAAAAGCTTTTGAAAGCCCTGCTTTAACCGTTCCATATCAATTATGACCTGCCATTGGAATAAACAGATGCATTTTTATGCATGACTAAGTACAACCATCCAAAGAATGTCTATAATATATGTTCAAAAAGAATAATAAAAAAGGTTCTCTGTAAATACAAGAAAAAGAATAAAAGAAACATATCAGCAATTTGTTTTTCTGCCGTTCATACAGTGTTTTTCCTTAACAAATAAGGAGATACATATATATTAATTAATATAACAGTAATAAAATCTACGCATGTCACCTCATCTATCCCCGCACTAGCTGCACCATATAGTTCGCGGGCATTATCTACTACTTTACCAGGTAGTCCTAACCTTTCAGCTATATTGATTGCATTTGAACGCCCTGCAGCATAAATATCACTCCTTGAGTCATTATGCAGTAACATAAATATATAATGTAACATTTTTTCATGCTAGTAAATTACAATACATGCTAACAGAAAAGAGACCAGTTACTCAATTGCACATGGAGATGCATATATTATGGATCGTCCCTTACTCTCTCTTCAGGAGAAAAGATTTAAAAAGGAAAAAAGCAAAACAGAAGTTAAAGTCGTTTGTCAGAATGAAGACCTGGTACTCCCCAGAGAATCCTGTAAGTTGGCTTTAACTTCACATCATCAAACTCCATACATGCATTTTCAAAGGCGTCATTGCTGTCAAAGGAACAACCTCATCAACACAAAACAAGACTTAATGGCAGGGTAGATATTCTATGGGCTCATATAGATTTTAAGTAGGAAGATGGGGCAAACTTGGCTTCAATAAACCACATGCAGAACAACTTTGACTAAATGTCTGACAACCACCACTTATTTTTCCAGACTCGATGTATTAAACAATTGAACTGTAGTAATTCATTAGTTGCATCTTTAACTTGTATGCCAAATACCTGTATTTCAGGGTTTTGAGTTCCCCATGATGTGTTGTAGCAATTGTCAGCAAAGCACCAGTTTCAGCAAAAGATTCCAATAGAGACATCCCCAGTGCTGCTCCTTCGTGGGGATTTGTTCCTGCACCAACCTACCAAAAACAAAAGGAGGTGATACCTGTATTCATTTGTATTTCCTTTTCTGTTCTGGTAACAATTTGTTACATGTCATATTCCAGAAAAGGCAATTTGACCACACCTCATCCAGTAGCACGAGTGAATGACTTGTTGACTGTGACTGGATGTCCTGCAATATGCAGTAAAGATACTGGTTGAATGTTTCATATCATAAAAGTACACGTTAAAGATTTTCACCAAATTCTTGTAGTCAATCAAGTTTTTAACTATTCTACATTTGTACTTGGTCATGTTTATAGAAACACTTTCCAAAATAACTCTTTTTCTTACACTTATATGTTTTAAGTGGCCGGAAAAGGTGGAAAGTGATTGGGTCAGGGATTGTTCATCGCCAATGTCAGCAAAAACTGAATCAAACCAAGGGATTTGTACTGATCCAGAACACAAAACATGAAGGCCTGCGATATTTAGAAAAAGGGAGTCACAAGCCACGCAACTTGATGAATTGCATTTGTGATTAATTCTTCAGTCCCTGAATATTCTCTACCCTCTTGTAGAGCAAGCTGACAGGAAGTGTAAGAACCTCATATTGATAAGAAAAATGATGAGAATTACATTACATGAGTGCTTCCTATCCAAATAAGGATACTAATAAAATAGAATAATTAAATTACATCAGAAACATATGTATGCTTGTAAAACTACTGGTAAAACTCCACAAGCTTAAAGGATGATTGAAAGAATTGAGAGATATCAGATAAACCTGATTTTGCCATCATAGCTGCCAATCCTATGGTCTTTAGGCAAATGGTTTTACCCCCCGTATTAGGGCCAGTGATAACCAAAACTCGAGTTTTTTGAGCTATGAAAAAATCAACTGGAATTGGTTTAACCTGTTCCAGTTCTATAGCCTGCCAAACAGAGGTAAAATAACCTTAAAAACAGAATAGTTGTATAACAAAAAATAGAATGTCTAAATACTAGGAGATAACAATTTATTATCACCTGTTATTATGAATAATCAACCTATTCAAAAAAAATTACCTTCAACTCTAAGGATGAAATATCTATATTTTTTCCTGCTTTCTGTGTAACATACTCTCCTTGTAGTTTTCTTTTGATTTCCTAATAAGAAAAAGGAAAATAACCAAAAGATAAGTAACCAAAGAACTGTCTATAAATACATTTGTCAAGAAGCAAGCTATATGTGCAACGATTCATATTTGAGAAGAAGACAATGACTGTCGACAAGTGGCAATCACCTCAATGCAATTCCTCCTGTGCAAGGAGTAGATGACCACTCTTTTAAAAGAATAAAGTAAAATAACGTCGATTTAAATTAATTATATATCCTGAACCATTATTCAGGAACTGGAATAAGACAAAAACTAATAATAAAAAAGTGGCACCAGGTTATGGATATTGCATAAGTACCATAGTGGCAATTTTTAAATCTTTCCTGGCCTTCTGTAAATTTTGTCTACGCTGGTGAAGTAGTAGAGGATGATAAGCCTTTGGCAGATACAACACCCATTCATTCTTTGAGGGATCGGATTGTTGTGGATGTCTGTTCCCTGATAAGTAGGTATCAGAAGTGAAAGAGCCAAGCCCTCCTGGTAGAAATAGATTGGGACATGTTCCACCAAATGCTAGACCATAAGTTGCTCGGGCATTAACCTACAAGTTAACAGCCCAAGCTAAGGAATTGCCAACTAAAACAAGCAGACAAAGTAGCACCACAAGGGCATTCAGAAAGCAATTCCATAAGTCCCATTGAAGAATAAGATGTGTGTGTGCGTGTGTGTGTGTGTGTGTGAGAGAGAGAGAGAGAGAGAGAGAGAGGAGGAAAGTATGAGAAGATATCATTAAATGGTGGCAGCAACCTACCACATCCAGTTGGATTATACTGTTTGATAGTTGTTCAATGTTATCAAGATCCATTTGCATCTGTACAGTAAACCACAACATAAATGTAATTTTTTTTTTCCCAAAAAAGGAAAAGATTATATAGCCAGAATAAAAAAAGTTATAACCACATAAAGCCACAAACCTTTTCTGTTAACGTTAAGAGAACTTCTGTCTCAGCTTCTGATACTAGAGCCCTTGTCCGTTGCAACTCATCATTTAGAGGGATAGCAGATAATGGCTCAATGATGCTTCCTATGCCTGAACTACTATAACATTATATCACTTTCAGGATTGAAATAATCAACAACTGAGATGAGTGAGTGAGAGAGAGAGCCACACCAATTGGTTAAGACCTATAAAAAATAAATAAAGAGTTCTTTGCATGCTCAGAGGTGATAAACGTTATACAACAAACTTAACAGACCTGGGCAATAGGAGACCCTTAATACTTGTCAGTTCACTAGCACTGGATTTTATACACCACCTGCCATCAACAGTACTCACTTCCTGAACGAATGACAGTATAATAATTAGGAAATCATCTTGAAGATTCTACGAAATACATCTCTGAACTTGAGCTTCTTACCAGAGAGGGTGTTTCACTGTCATCCCTAATTAGGCTGTTCATTAACTGATTTATCTGAACAGGAGGAGCAACCGGTTGTAAGAATAAGTTGTGAATGAGAATGAAGAGAAATGATAATTTCAAAACCATAGCCTATTTGAAAGCTATCACTTTACGTTTTAAATAAGCATGAGAGTACATGTTAGAAAAACATTTACAGTGTGTTTGGGTGAGGTACTTTAAAGTACCAAAGAACTCCTAAAGTGATAGGATTTAGAACATGCTTCTCTAACATGTAAAACCCACTAAGAAGGCACACAACTCAAACCCACTAAGGATAGGGTCACTATATTACCAAGCAATTCATGGTCTATTTAAATGTACATAGGACGTGATCATAAACAAAATAGAAAGTAGGAATTTACCTTTCCCTCAAGTGTCCGAACTTGATTGCGTAATCGTTTCAGAGTAGGACTCTAAAAACAGGGAATACAAGTTTTGAGTGAGACAAGAATCCAGGGAAAACAGACAGAACATTTAAAAAAAAAAAATCAATCAGATAACGTTAACTAAAGACTTCTATTGAAGCACAAAGAAGAAACGCAAAGATTTATTAGAAAGGGAAAGAAAATAATAAATATAGACTAGCACAGTCAGAAACAAACCGCAGAGTCTTTAACACTGCCATCTTCCTCTACAACTTGCTGTATCTGCTTAACGAGTGATCGGTTAATGACAAATCCCATTATCTGCACAAAATAGTTAAAAGTACATTCAAATGCATTTAAATTGTATGCTAACAAATAACAATTGGTAGTAGTTTATTCAAATCTCAATGTTGTGTTTACCACTGGTGAAAGAGGCATAAAACGTGTGTACCAATCTGCATCTTCCTTGATTGCAACTTTAAGATTACTCTGTAAAACCTCTGCGCACTGTAGCAGCGCCGCAACAGCCAACGCTTCGTTCCCATCCAGTGGTGAACTCCTCCGAGCATGTTGCATGGCAGATTGCACCTTCAAACACAACAAAGCAAAAGGTTAGGTAGGCAGTGGGCAAAGTCATCAAATTTTCATGAAAGGAATGATATTAACTTAGAAGATTACCAAAACGACATTGAGGCCGCTAAAATCCAGAGAGCAAGCACCGTGCTTGCGCATTTCTACGGCCGCATTGGTTTCGTCCAAAAGTCTGAGGCTTTCTTCGTATGTCTGATTCAAATACCATAGCTGTGCCTATGTATTGCAATATTACACCAGCAGCAGCAGAACCAATGTCAATATAAAACAAATGAAGAAGAAAGAAGACGAAGAGCTTGTTGGAGGAGTACCTTAGTGGCTTCGCGGCCTAAGGAAGTACGAGCAAAGGAGGCAACGGAATCGCAGAGCTTGTCCCATTCCAAAACCCTAAGACTGTCGTAGTGGGCCTGTGATATTTTGTGGGACTGGTAATTAGCCGCGGAAATTGAGGAGCGTTTGAGGAAATTAGCACGGTTGCTGAACTTTGTAAGAGTAAGAGTAGCAAGAGGAGTGGGAAAGAGGGAGACGATGGGGTTGCCAACTCCAAACGGTGAGCAAGAAAGCATTTCTCTCAGTCTATGGGTTCCGTAACGGTCACAACTGGCGGGTACAATTTATCGGCGTTTATCCTCCAGGCCGCCATGATGCTGATGATGACGACCAGGCAACGCGTGGTGTAGCTACCGACCAGCCATATTTTAGATTATGGGCCGACTGGTCTTATAGTGGGCTCCAAATAACTTAACGGCCCGGTTCAAATGTTAGGACTGGGCTTATAGTTATAGAGGGATGGGTTTATACCTTGATATGCAAGTAAAATTCAGGCCCTCATCAAGGCCAGACCCGCTTGATTTTTCTTTATCGGCTCGAACCGAAGCCTTGATGTGCAAGTAAAAAGAAGAAATAGGAAAAGCAGTCTTGATTGATTGTATAAAAAAGCAGCCTTGGTTGTCAGAGTTTTTCTCATTGCTCAAAAGAAAAATATTGTTTTCCCTCCTCTTACTACCCTCTTGAGGTACAAGCCTCTGTAAATATTGGTTTGCCTTAAAGTTGGATAAAGTTGAATGCTTATGATGGACGTAGGAGAGGCTCTCGCGATTTTAATGGTTATGGTAGTTCACTTAGAGATTGCAGCGGAGTTTGGATTTCTGATTGTGTTGCCATTCTGGTTTATAGGAATCTTCTAACTGTCGAGAATCGAGATGATTAGACGCTGACCATCAAGTTTCATCCTCTTGGTTCTGTACTTGTGGAATTGTTGGGCTCTTTTCGGGCTTGTAATTTGAGGCACTTGTAGATAGAGAAGAAGTATGCAGCTGCTCTGCTGGCCTTGTTAACTACAGGTCTCTTTGCTCTTGACAATTCTCTTTACAATTGTAAGTAGTTCTTAATTGATGATTTGGTCCTGTTTTAGTTTTAGTCTTGTCTTTACAACCTCAATCACGCTAACAGATACATACGCAAATGCAGCACAGCACAAAATCGAAAAGGAAGAATAATGTGGAGGCTGTTTAAAAAAAACTATGTTTGTTCTGGTTTAAAAAAAACTAGCCGTTAATTTTGTTTTGCTCTTGTTGCATGTACATTGAAAACGCACAAACGCCTGTCTGTCCTCCTCTATTACTTACTACTGGTCATGACAGCGGTCGGTAAAGAGAAGGTGCTACCATACAAAGATAGCCTAACCAAAAAAAGATGACAAAAAGATATCAAGTCTTTCTTGCACAAACGCCTGTTGCTGTTGTTGTCGTAACCCATTGGCGGCTTGGCTAGATTACAAAAAAAATTAGAGCTTGACCTATAATTCAATTCAAATGAATCATCAGTCCAGACCCATAATTCAGAAAAGTCCGAACAAAACCGAGAAGCCGAGGACGATCAGCCACACAATGTGAACCAAAAGCAGGGCTTGAGCGGAGAGAGGGGCAGAACCCCCATTACCCACCTCACAAAACCCTAGCTTGGCCACCTTCACCCCAGCACATTGAGCCTCCTGGCACCCACACCAGTAGGTCACACCGTCCACGCCGCAAACAGGGTCGGGTCGAAAGCAATTGACGGGGCACATGGGGCGGGACCAGGGTGACGACGACGATGACAAGGGAGACGATGGAGTAGCGCCACATCGATCGGCTGATTGGGAATCCGAGGGCAGTCGGATGATGGTAGATTCATGCTCGGATCGTACGGTGGGGAAGGAACAGAGGATGAAGATGGGGAAGAGGATTAGGAGGATGAGAGGGATTGGTGATTTTGCGAACTGGGGCTCCATTGTTTGAATTTGAAGTAAAGGCGAGCTCGTTTCTTTTCTTTCTTGTTTGTTGATGAGAAAGAAAAGAAAAGAAAAGCTCGCCTTTTTATTCTTACGCAGTTGATGTTATGGAATTGTTGGGGAAGCTAACCCAATCCTCTCCTAAAATCTTCCCCAAATTCAAGAAAATTGAGGGAAAATCATTTAATTTCCAACTGCAAATCCTTCTTCTTCCCTGAACCTTCCCCAAATTTGAGAGATTGGTTCTCCAAATCAGGTTAGGTTAGGTTAGATTGGTTTATGATGCCCCGAAATCTGAGTTTACCATGGAAATGTTGTTCATTGACTACTTACTCAATATATCCTCATGTCGGTGGGAAAAAAATAGGGGGGAAAAGGATCGACCTTCGAGTTCATCCCTAATTTTTAGGGTTGAACCAAGGGGGCGAAGATGAGACACTTGTTTGACGCGTAATGCCTTATTGGGTTAATTGTGCCTTCGATCTTGCGAGACGGCGTCGTTTATGCGTCAAATAGATTTTGACACTGAACGCTGAATTCGGCCGGAATATGGGGACAGCCATTGCCTTTGGACATCGACCTTGAGTTTGTGTGCTCGTCTTTTTTCAGTAATAAATCTGTTTTTAATAGATTTTCTTCTTTTGGGTCTTAAATAGATTACAACTATTACGTGTCTTGAATCTTGTTTGATTTTGTTTTTCCTTTTCTAATTAATTTTGGGCCGAAAGGAAAACTTATTGCAAATTACAATACTTACCAAAGAAAACTTACAATCATGGCTTGCAATTATTTTCTCAAGTTATGTAAATAAATATAGACACCATTATTTCGCAAACTCTATACTTAGACTAATAGGCCAAGGAAACATTCAATATTTTGTATAAGATAGGTTATAACTTATATATATATAAAGCAAAAGACAGAAAATGGTGTAACATTCAAAATACAAAAAAAAAGTCCTTGGACAATGTGAACATTAAGAATTGAAATTATTAATTAAATGAGGATAATATGATAAATTCACACTTTTTTATATTTTAAAAAATTAAAATTAAAAGAAAAATCAGATAATTGATCATATTTTTATGGAACACAACTACCCATTATCTTTTTTAATTCTAAAATAAATTTAATTTTTTTTTAAAACAAACCTCTCGCAGGCGCAGAAATGCGTGCGAAGAGGCTAGTATAATATAAAGCAAAATACAGAGAACGGTGAAACATTCAAAATACCAGAAAATGCCCTTGGTTAATTCAAACATTAAGAATTGAAATTATTAATTCAATGAGGATAATATAGTAAATTCACATTTTTTTTCATACTAAAAAAATTAAAAATGAAAACAAAATCAGATAATAGGTTCTATTTTTATGGAACATAACTATCCATATTATATTTTATTAATTTTAAAAATAAAATTAAAAAATTAAAAAATTAAAAACAATTGGCACATAGGGCTAGTAACTTATAACGAGGGCTGACAGTAAGGGGTCCTTAATAGTAGCCGATCAATGAAAATTTTATTATTCAACGGTTATGTTCAACCCCTCAACATAATCTCCTCATTAGAGAAGTTACGGGCTTAGCCCATGGCACATTTGTTATTATTATTATTTTTTTTACTTTTCCAAGTTAGTTTAGCTCACAGTCGAGTCTATTCCTAACCCAGTTTAACACCTTCAACTGTAGCCCATCGCCTAAATAAGTGCAACTCAGCCCATAGTTGTAGCATTGGAGCATGGGCCTTCACGTATGCCGCCAGCTAGCCCATAGTTGTTTGTTTCATGTTTTTTTTTTGCCTTAATAATATTTATTCTTTCTATTTTCTTGATTTGGTCGAGTCTAGATGGTGGAACAAGAGACGCATGGTGTTGGGACAGCCATGAAATGGGGACAGAAGCAACTGTAATAACTAACTGGAAGCGCATGTCTCTGTAGAGGGAGAGCAAGAAAGGCGGAGGGAGGAGCAAAGGTGAGCTGTGGGATTTGAAAAGGTCAGGGCATATTCCAATATAGAAATTAGAATGGGTGCAAAATGGAGGTTTTACCGGGCGATCCAGTGAGTTGAGAAATTGAGACCAACAGTTTCTCCTAAACATAAGACCCATCCTTTCACTATATGAACCCATCTTGTCCTAAATTCTTCCCTCAGCCTCAACAGCCCCTCCTCCTCCAACAAACAGCAACAGAAAGTTGATAAATAAAAAGGAGAGAGCTTCTTCTTAAGAACTCCAAAGACTCGCTCATTCGTCCCATACTTGATCAAAAATCATGGGAGGCTGTGCGAGCAAACCAAAGGAGTTCGATACTGCCCGCCCTGAGGCTCTCCCAACTGAGTCCACCAGACCCGAGAAAGCAGACCGTGAAGCTGAAACGACTACTGATAGTACCAACGTTGCAGCTAATCAAGAGGCGGTGGACACCACCAATGTAGAAGCAGAAGCACCTCTGGTAGATCTCTCAGAGCCAAAGGAGAAGGAGGAGGAAGCCGCACCTGTTGTTGTTCCTGCTGCTGCTGCTGAGGCTAAGCCTGAGGCTGCAGCTGCGGCTGAGGTGGCAGCAACTCAGAAACCAAAAGAGGAAAAAGTAGCTGATCAAGTTGAAGTTGCTGCCAGACAACTAGCCGAGGTCAATCTTGTTGAGGCTGTGAAGGAGACCAAAGAGAAAGAGCTGCTGCCGGCTCAAGAGATCAAACCCAAGGCCAAAGAGGAGCAGCCTGCTGCAGCGATCAAACCCAAGGCCAAGGAGGAGGAGCCTGCTGCAGACATCAAACCAAAGGCAGCTCCTGCCTCGGAGGGCAAGAATAAAGATGCACCTATTCTCACTGTTTGATCCATTGCGCTTCCAGTCTAAATCTAGCTACTAATTAATGTATCTCCCAAAAAAGAGCCATAAAGTGCAACACAGCATTGATGGATATATTGGTGCACTTTGTATCTGAATTTTTGGGACTCCACAACCACAAGTATTGAAAATCCTATTTTACTTATATCCCATAATTATTAAGTTATCTATGCTATATGCCTCATAGTCGTTTACTCTGGAGTTTTAAGAATAACATGTGTGATGCAAAATATTTGATTAGGACCATCATTTCTTTGCTGCAGAAGAATCTGGCAAAAATAGATCACATGCTCAGAGTCAGAATTCAAAATTGGATTTCTGTGACTCAAATAACAGCTACAATCTTTGCATGGAATTTGCATTACTATTACATTACATGGATAAATACAAGAACAAATCAGAAATCTCCTGGAGATGGAGCCACAGAATACTAACTTTTCACTATTGACAGCCAGCCTCCCAAATATACTACTTGGGAAGATTTGAACTTACGAACATTATTAAACTTGATGTCAATTCTACAAACAGCTGCCCCACCACTCTGTATTCCCTTATAAAAATTGATATTTTCTAGCACCTTTTCTGTTACAAAATTTAAAAAGATGGTTCCCTTTGATCTGTAAAGAGTCTTCCACTGAAAAGACTTTTATCATTTCTAAGCAAGAAAAGAAGCAGACATGAAGATAATCAAGAAATATTCCAAACGATATTTTAACAGAACACTAATTTTGATTACTCTATAGAACACTGAACAATTAACATGATATATCTATTTCACAAATTGTGATGATTCCAACTTGTGTGAGCGTGATAGAAACTTTAAATGCCCGAGAAAATGGAAAGGACAATTCCAATAAAATTATGACTAAATTGATCGGCTAAGCCAACCCCATTGTTATCACTTTTCTGAGGCAGGTCCAGCAAATGAAGGAGCGGCCTCCTTCTCCTTGGTAATTTCCTCTAGATCAGCCTTACTCTCATCCTTCACAGCCAGCAAGACTAGAACCACCAACAACGGATAGCTCACGGTAGTGAGCGACCAATTCGTAACCAATTGGGTGAGGAAGGACACCTTGTGTGTATCAACTTGCCAAGCAACAGCTGCCCCAGCACTCTGTATTCCCTTGTAGAATCCAACATACCTGCAATACACATGCACAAAAGTTGTTAAGCATCACAATTAAATTGATCACAAACTTTGATTATATGTTAGCCTCCAAACAGTCACTTTATTCTATCACACAAAAATCATTGAGATATTAAAAACTTGAGCAATAAGGCATATTCTATTATCTGATCTGATCTATCATCTATGTTACCTGCTTAGGGTCTCAGAGTCATTAGCCAAGGCTCCAATAACCCAGTAAACCATGCTCTGGAACATGGAATCCAGCAAGCCAAAACTGAAATACAAGACGAATGGTCCGGCAAAATCCGAACCAGAGTCCTTAAAATCCAACTTCTCTGGCAAATCACCGCGAGAGTAGGTTAGCTGGTTGACAAGCCCACCAACCCAAATTGCAGTGCCAACAATACTAACCACTGTAATGCCAGCAAAACCCCTTGTCCTCCTACTCTTGAAACTGAAATCCATTATGTATCCAATCCCAATCGACCCCAACATCTGGGCTCCCCAATAAAACACATTGTTCAATCCTCTGGTCCTCAAATTAAACATAACCTGATTGACATTGTTGAACTGGTAGGTGTAAAAGAAGTTGCTGGACCAAGCAGCAGGGATTATAAGAAGCATCTTCCAATTTCCAAACAGCTTGGCAATCTCAACAACCTCAGTTGAAACACGAGAGTACTGAATGTTGGTACACTTACTCCCATCATCACGAACAACCTTGCTAGGCGGCAAAATGGCCAGGGATAAAAGAGTCCCCACAGTCATGAAAACCATGAACCCAATATAAGTAGCATCATTAACAGAAGCTGCCTCGCTTCTATTGTAATTAAGAACGAAGGGAATTAGGCCTCCAATGACACCACCCATGTTGAAGATACTCCAGAAAATGGAAATATATGTCCCTTTCCGATTAGCCGGGGGATAGGAGGTCATGATGGCACCTTGGCCAGCCCAAAGCAGGCCTGCACCGACTCCAAGGATTGCTCCGGCGACAATTGCAAAAGCCTGGTGCTTGTGGTGATTGTAGTACAAGAAGGAGCCAGCGTAGAGGACATAGGTGGAGCAGGCTGAGAGGAGAGTGAGGCGAGGGCCAAGGATGTTGTAGATGCCACCGCCGAGGATGCCGAAGACGGCGAAGGTGGTATAGAGGGCGGTGGAGGCGTTGTTGGAGGCTGTTGGGTCAACCTGGCCACCACCACCCATGCCTGAGAGGGCATTGAACATGCCTGGGCAGCAAAAACAGACCAACCCAATAAGGCTCACTTGCACAAAAGGGGAGTTGTACCTGAATCTCGATTGGGGCACCTCAGTGCCTCCTGATTCTTCAGCTCCTTCGAAACCCATCAAGCCAAGATGATGACTTTGACGATTTTAATGGTTTTTGTGATTGCTGAAAATGAAAAGTTTCTTCTTTTTAGAGGGGATGGGAAAGCTCGAGGCTTTATTCGGGACAAAAGAGACAGAAGGGAATTTGGGGATGAGGGGTTGATGCTCTGAGTTGGGGAGGCCAAAGAGATGACAGGGGTTTTGATTTGAATGCAGAGTCCGAGTGGGTTGCTGGGGCTGTCTCTGATTCTGAAAAGCACATGCTATGTAGCTTTGATTTAAGTTGAGAAGATATAGTCCATGATGAATTGCAAAAGGTCAAAAAAATAACAAGGAATTTGGAAATTGGGATTTGGAGGAGAAAAATTGCATTGCAAATGACAAATTTTGGATTCCAGGCTTGCTTCCTTTCCAGAATCCAGCGGGGTGTGAGAAAGACAGTGAGAAAGGTCGAAATATAAATCCATGATCCCAACGGGACGACGGGGATGAATCTGCATAATAATAAAACTATTAAATAATTAAGAATAAGTCAATCTCAATCAGTTTCGGTTGTTTTGTTTTGTTATAGTCGGAATAGAATCTTGGATTTCAATCCTATGTGGACCCGCTTCTTCTCGCAAAAATAACAGGCCAGTCCAGAGACCAGAGACCACCAAAAACATGACATATATTTTTAGTAATATTTTTTTTTTACTTGAATGTTATTAGTAACCATAAACCAAAAACAAATGAGTTGGGAAAACAAGGGTATTATTATTATGTCTTATGCCAACCTGTCCTAAAAAGATTACATACGAATATGTTAAAGATTCACTAACATAGATAATTAAGTTGGGTGGATTATGTCTAATTTGCAGGCGCATATTAGAAGGAAAGGAAGGTCCAACAGCTTGACTAACTAATACTTAATGAAGGCAACCATACACTTGCCTTGTTGTTTTCAACTTGTTTGGCTCGCCCTTCTTTCTTTATATGCTTCTGCTTTCAGCAAAGGGAGCTCTCATTCATGACTCTTGACAGAAAAAGTCATATTTTGCTGCGACAAATAAGTTCTCCATCACACGTAACATAGTGATGTTAAGGCATTTAAATAACAGCAGGCCAGCCGGCTGCAACTAGTTATCTTATCAGTGACCATTTTTGTTGTTTTTGTGGAAAAACATTTGACAACACAAGCTCACTTGGGTTGGAACTTGGATGGATGTAAAGCCTTCCTTTCATCAGAGCTCATGGTGGTCCAATCAAGAATTGACCATCAGTAATACGGTTGTAAAGGATAAGGGGATGATGTCGTTCATTTCAAGAATTGACATTATAGGCTTGCCTTCTCTTCTCACTTTTTCGCCTGTTGTAATTTCTGGAAGCAGCTCCTAAGACGAAAACAAACGAAAACACCACCAGGCTAGTTCTACTACAACAAGACCAGACAAAATATTACATGTATCTTTTTACGGGTCAGTTAACTGCAAGAATTCTACATTAAAGGTCTTATATATTGGATCAAATTAGTTAATCGGATCCAATGATTAAGAGATAGGACATCACCTAAAAGTCATATATAAAACCCTCACTATAGAATGACTCCGGTTCTCTGATAAGATAAACTATTGATTTTCAAATCTGTTAGGCAGAAAGCCCATCCCTCTTCAAAAGTCAATCGTTGTATTTGTATAAAGGGGCCGAAACCCATCGAGAGCCAAAATGGGAGGTCCTCGAAAACACAATAAGGACCTTCCAGACGGTTCACTTCACTCTATATCCACAGAACGTTCACCACTATGAGAAATTAGATGAAAGAACAATGACAAGGGAAAATAACCAGTTCCAACCCAAAAAATTTCAATTCCTTGATATGATTTGGCATCTGTCATTCTGTCATTCTCATTGCAAAGATTTGACACTCATTAGTTAATCACAGCTCAGATTACATGGTCGCATCCTACCTTTAGGCTAAAAGAACAAAAAGAAAGCATCCATCCTACAATGAAAGAGACTGGTCTGGTGTATAAGAACCCCAAAAGTGGTTTAATTGCGCAAACAACTGAAACAAGTCAACTCTATGCTCCTTTCTTGCGGTTTTGAAGCGAAAACCCTGGTTCCTTTGCATCGTTATGTTCATCAACTGTTTCCTCAATCAGTCGAATCCCATGCTCAGATCCTTCTGAGGAAGTATCACCTTTCGTGCCTCCAATTGTTGCAATAGTGGAAGGATCATTAACCAAGCTTTTGTAGATTGTTAGTGCTTGAGAAATCATGCCAGCAGGATTATTTGAAGCACTAGGAAGCAACACTGTTGTGCCCTGCAAAAATTTTAAATAAAAGGAAGGAAAAAAACTATTTTATTAATCCATTGAGCATCATTAGATACAGCAGCATATATACATAGTTAGATGGTTCTGCTCTCACCTGTTTGGCAATATTACCAAAGGCTTCGACATACTGCTCAGCAATTTTCAAGGCAGCTGCCTGCAAATCAGACCATAATATTAGTTCCTTCATCCACACAAACAAACAAAGCACACACATA